GTCTCGGGAAGATAGAACGTATGATGACAAACGGCAAGAATTAGCAAGAATGGGGAATATAAACCCCTAAACGATATTCCCTAAACCCTAAAACCTGTAATTAAGACCTACATTGTGCCCTCTTTTGGTCCGTCCTGTGGGAGTGACAGCTTGATGGGAAGATCGGAACACTAGTCAATCACTAGTCTTGGGTCGGGCTTACGGTAACCACTACCTCTAGTCTCCATTGTAGTTCCTTTTTGGGGTTACCTTGTAGGATCCTAATTATATATAATATTTGGTTAAACCAAAAAAAGAACTACAATCACTAGTCTTGGACCGGGCTTACGCAAACCACTAGAGCCCGTATAACTTGTACTTACTAATGCTGATCGCGATGTAAATTCGATTTTCTGCCCCATTGTTGTAATTCAATATTTTTGGTAAACCCCCTGTATAAGTCCCTAGGATTCCTGGTTATAGGTATACTAATAGACCCTAGACCCCTGATCTTTTTCGTAAGGCTCCCATATTGATGGACCCTGCAGAAAGCCGACAAGAGATCGCAGAGGTTTCGAACTGCTCTCGCTCATTGCAGTACTCTTCGCAGAGCTGTCCACACCTGGGGATCCAAAAAACCTACTGTTTTAGCGGTTAGACCCTCTAATTCAGGGGTCATAATCTACTATTTCGTGGGGTTTGGGGATACAGGCAGGGTTTAGGCTTTGGAAGAGACAGCATTCTGCCAACCTCCGCATGCCCCTGTCTTCAACCCGCGTAGATAGATACATTCATCATTTCATATGTGTATACAGACATACCTGGTAAACCGTTTGTGCCTGATTTATTAGCCCAGACCATTATGGTTGTCACTTTCAGCCTTAGGGCTGATTTTATGATGTGCTGAGGGGACCCAGCCAAAAAACGCGCTACGAAACAGAATCAGCCTTCGTAAATCCAGGATGAGGCTGAAAACACAAAATCAGCCTTCAGCTCTGATGACATTCTTGATGCATAGAACTCCTTGATCCAAAAGACACAACCTGTTGCCCCATTGCAAGCTAGTGCGTTTGGCAAACCTGAAACCCAATGTCAGCTCGAATCTGGAAGAATACGAAGGCTTAGGAGGCTTAGGACTGCAGGGTTTTAGGGTTCAAGGTGTCTTTTCGAAGTCGAGGTGATGCAGTTTGCACTTTGGAAAGGAGAACATCCAGAGCAATGTAGCTGCATGTATGCAGTTTACAACTATACAGCACCCACGATACTCCGAAAGCCGAAACTCAAGCTCAACATTGGCACATGTAATCTTCCTGTACCATACTTCAGAGACGAGAGAAAGCCCGGAGAACCCCAACCACACTTTAAGCCCGAAATCCCTCCGTATTTCGCCCAATGCCGGTCCACTCAACGATCTGCGTTCGTGGGTGACCCAGCCGCTCGGATTGCAGGGCCGCTCTGCCGCATGTTGTGTTTCTATAATTGCTACAGCTATGTAGGGCCATATGGATACTAGTTCAGGGCTTTATACAACTTATTTGGGCAACACTCGTGCACGTCTATCCTTGCAGAGGGGCCATGCTATCCGCTAACCACTGTGCAGTGTCATCCCTTGGGCAGGGTTTTCCAATCCATCCATGTCTTGATAAGCATGCGCTCTAATGTGCGCTGTCCAGTCAATCTAGCGGATACTCGCCTGCTGACCCTTGCCACCTTTCCGATGAAGTCCTCCCCAGCTTCTGCCAGGAAGGCAGCGGGTGATAAGATATGTGTGCAGGACGGTATGTCCAGTTGCAACTTCAACCTTCTTGCCATATGCTTGAAAAGATGAAGGGATGGTTCGAGATGAAACCGGTTCTCCTTTTGCTGGTGCATCTTCTGGGCCAGGTAAACATAGGTGGCAGCAAACATGTTGACGGCTTTCCTGGGATGGGATGACAAGTTCTACAGGATGTATACTATGTTCAGGGGTTTCGGGCTCGAGTGTTGGCACGTACGGATTGCAATTGCTTTGGGTTGCATCTCTCACTCTCGCTCTTCGTCTCTCTCTCTCTCTCTCTCTCTCTCTCTTTCGCTCCTTTGGTTCCGAAGCAAACAAAAAAATCAGGCGACCTTAAGGTTGGGATTCATATCGGCGTTTTGGGGTATTGGTTCGGCATACTCAAAGTTTTCATGCAAATCGGAGTGGCCTTCTACTACAAGGGTCCAATTGGGGTTTGCAGGAGGGCTTGATTTTGCACAACAGAGTTAACAAATGTGCAGCCCATTATGTATTTCATACAGGCTGGGTTTCAAGGCTCGTATCAATTATAGGGCTAGTATAAACTAAAACTGAATTAGAGTACAATCAATAGAAAACGTACCAGTCTGCAGCTTTGCCACATTGCCTTTTGGGCTTGAGGGCGGGTCAACCAAAGGCCAGCATTGTTGATGATCTCAAAGAAATGAAGTGCGGCACAGGCACCATCGAGCATAGCATCCATGAGCTCGGGTACATCCCCAGTGAAATTGTTTTTCAAGGGTACACCCGGGCGGTTGCCGTCCACGTCGCTGGTCCCATACCGAAGCACCCGTACGATCCAGCGAAACATAAGGGTACAATCCGAGCCTTTAAACCCCCCCCAAGGGAAAAAGTGGTTCTTCTTGAAGTGGAGGATTTCTCGCGTGAACTGCTTGCAGTTAGGACAGCTCTTCAGTTCGCGGCAGCTGGCTCGGAAGTCGTCGTATGCCCTCTCCAATCGTTCTTCGACACTGTTAAGTCTGCCAGGAAATGCATTCCAGAAACAAAGGCAAATGAGTACACTGGCGGTGTAGTGACGGCCAATACCAAGTTTTACCACATGAAATGCGTCGTTGCGGAATTGCGCTTCCGGCCTGTTGGCATTGTGTGGGATAACCAGAAGGTCCGGTGGTTCCGTCCAAGGGCGTTCCACGTAACATTGTTGCTGCCACGTGGCTGTCTCTCTGCAGTCTTCCCAAGGAACATCATCCAACCCTGCTTGGCAATGGTGGCATATTCGTTTGTTTTTGCCGAGGTGAAGAAACGTTGCCGTCAGCTTTCCGGCTTTTGCTAAAGCGGGACTGTCTCCTTTGAGACCCAGACAGACCCCGAACCAAGATTGCCCGTTCTTGTCCAAGCATCCACTGTAAAAGACATCTTTGCACTTCGTTGATATTTGCTTCATGGTATTGTAAAAAACATGAGAGTGGTCCACCTTCTTTGTTTTGCGATACCACAAGTGCGGAATGGCACTCAGAGCAAACCTGCTTCGCAAAGAGCTGCCTTTCGAAGTATGTCTCTGTGAATTCAAGCAGGCTTGGTAGTGCTCCTGAAGATTGCTGAAGTCCTTCGAGCCATACTTGTCCACAAACTCTTTTCGAGTTCCCAGACCAAACAAGGATTCCCAGGCGATGATCATCACGGGGCTTTTCCGATAGCCACGTCCTTCGTCTAAGTAAAGAAAGAATGGAATGCAGAATTGCAGCCGGCCCTTGTGATGTGTGAACACCTCGTGACCGCTCTCCTCCTTTTCATATGCCCACCAAAACGCCTTGAGGTGAAAGTGAATCTCTTCAGTCTCATCCAGGGTGTATCCTCCTAGAAGGACTCGAGGCTCTTTGTGAAGCATATATGTCATCCAGTCCCCCACATGCAGTATAGGAACGTACTTCAGTCCCTGTTTCAGGAAAGACATCGGAATATTTAGCGTCATTTGCCAATCTCGAATGATCTTGTGAAGCCTAGCCTCAGCGTGCGTAAGATCCAGTTGCGACAGAAGCTTGATGCCTCTGAGGCAGCCCGGCACCTCTGCTTCCAGCGTCTTCGCCAAGGAGACCACACGGTTTGCAGGTTCCTGCATGGGCATTATCGACGGTTGCTGTTCGATAATTAGTGATAAAGGTTTGGACTGGTGTTTGTGGTTTAATTCTTCTATTGCAATAGTGATGGAACACCTAAGGTTCGGCACACACAAAGCTTGCAGAAGGTTTGTCTTTGATGATGTGGGTCTCGATTTGATTTTGGGTGGCTACATTAGCCAGGTTTTGTGGGGCGTGCAGGAAGAGGGTCCCTACTTTCAGGTGTTTGTGGGGCTTGCTTCAGGGTCGTTGGGATGATGAATAACTCGACTTGCAATGGATTTGCATGCATGGCTGGCTGCTCGATATCGATATTGAAATGACACCTTCATTTGGGCTTCTTGTAATTCCTTGAAGGAAACATGTGTATATATACACTCTACATAGATCGCCGCTCTACTCCAATGAAGCTCTGCGTGCACATGGACCTGAGATTCTTTTCAGGACGCCTGTACTTGAAAATGCACCGTCCGGAAATCTATCGGTTAGTGCTAGTGTTGAAGTTCATCCATACATTGCAAAGATTAAAAAGCACAACCTGTATCCCACATATAGCCCATCTAAGTGACTATTGTTGAAATGTTACACCCATACAAAACAACTCGTAAACCCTGTATCCCACATCTACCCCAACTAAGTGGCATACCTAAAGTCCTGAAGTCATTAGCTGAGCCCTGTGCCCCATTCCCAAGCGAAGCGACCAGCTTCTCTGCCGTGGGTCCCGGACCTGCGGGGGCCAAAGGCTTGGGAAAGGGCCAACGATATAGGGATGATTCTACAGAAGGAACCGTGAATAACTAATGCATCGCTGCGCTGCTCACTTGTGCATGCAATACACTCAACACACTACAGAAGCTTTTCTTGGCCAGCGGTTTGAACGACGTGTTCTAGCTTTGCTCCCCATTCCAAAACTGGGTGCACATGATTCCTTGAATCACTCGGACATGAGTGGCTGCTTGAATCATGAAGCGACTTTGTCGCACCAAAAGCGGATGGCAGCAGGTTCTATGGCAGGGTCCCAGGCCCAGGTTTGGACATCTTTAGTAAAGCTACAGTCTACCGGCCATCCAAAAGTGCGACCTATAGAACTTTGGATGTATATAAACCCTTCCCGGGCCCTGCCCAATCCCACGCACATCCTTGAAGCCCTGTGCAGCTGAGCAGATTTACTTCTCCGGGGTCTTACCACGAACTCGAAGGGCCTTTGCTTTGGCCTTGGCTTTGGGCTCGCCTGATCCCTCCTCAGCATCCTCGGGCTTGGTGGCTGCGGGCTTTGCTTTCGGCTTGGGATTTCTCGGCAAGGACGGCTCAGCCTTTGCCTTCGGCTTGCTGATCTTGGAGCGGCTCTCCAGCTGCAGGGCCTCCATGGCCCTCGGTTGCAGGGTTAGTTGACTGGGACTCATAGGGTTATTTGATTAAGAAGGGTCGATTGCTTAAGCTTTTTATGGCGTGGCGCTTTATAAGTTCCCGAAACTGGGAAGAGGTTGAGGTTGAGGCATGTCGATATATATAGACGATGAATGAGATATATGGTTTCAGGAGGGTCTAAGCTAGTTTCTTGATGATGATATGGGTTCGAGTCCACAAGGCATGACTTTAGATAGGGTTGTTGTGCACAAGTCGTTTCGAGCCAAAATATCCTATACTCGATTGGGGTCTGCACGGGGTCCTCTTGCATGAACTATGATTGTAACGTTACACTTTTGCAAGACACATCACCAAATTTGAGGCCCAACTTGAAAAGTACCATGTGTGTGATACCCCTCCCCGATATCACCTAATCCAGTGCCCGGGCACACTTTCGTGGCCGTCTTGTACACCGTAAGCAGCTTCTGGCCATTCCTCAGATGCGGTTTGCATGAGACAATGTCCTCTAGCTGATCCTGGTTGTTTGGGCGTGCTCATCACTTCTTATTGAAGCTTTTGCAGCGGGTTGCACACGCGGATCAGGCATATATAGCTGTGATGGTTTACAAGAACGTATTGAAGGGCTGGGTGCCTACGTATCTTCAAGGGTTATTCAAATTTAAAAGTTCCAGAACCTATCACTGTTTAGATCGGTACAACATTGGCAAACAGGGCCAGGGTACCCATTGGGTTCAAAGCCATTCACAGCACCATCTGCGTACATCTCCGTGATCTCATCATGGAGATTGTCCAGGCTCACGATGCATGCATCCATTTTGCCCATCAGCCTGAATTCCGGCGGAATGTACTCGAATGGAAAACCACAATCTATAAGCTATACTCTCTATATATATATATCATCAGGACTATAGCAATACTTTTAAGGTGTATGTTCACAGCCCGGGGGCTTCTTGATGGGCTCGGTGCGGTCCTTGTCTGGCACTGCATCCAGACGGCCTCGGCAATCAGTAAGCTTGTTGATGCGGGTCGTAAGGGCATTCTGGTAGGCCGCAATGTGAAGCTCGGGTCTGTCCTTACCGATAAGCATCGGCAGACCCAGCGAAGTTGCCACATCTTTGCCGGAGCCTGTGCCAGTAGTGTTGTCAGGGATTGGGGGTGGAGGATCGGGGTATTGGATGGTTTGCAGACATGTTAGCTCGCAGCAGTTTTGACGTTTGCCCGGGTGTGGGTGTTGAGGATGTATAGGACTCGGAAGCATCACACAGTGCGACTATGCACATGCAATTGTCGAATAGAGGGCTTACATAAATTAATTTATCATTGTTCGTTAATTGAATTAAGGCACTTTCTTTTATCCCAGGGTTTCGGTTTGGGATGTGCATGTATATGATTATGCAGGGATGCTAGTGTTCTCTTTCTGCATGAAATACACACACCGCATGCTAGGTAAAGTTGCTTTCGATTAGCTCGGATACGTGATAACAATTGGCGATTCGACAAGTATAAAGCAAAGACCATGCACACCCACGGACTCCCTAAACCCGAAACCTCTATATATAAACCCTAAGCCCCGTATGAATTCCTGTTATCATGCAACTGTAATTTCAAGCCCCGAAGAATTCAATCAACTCTAACATTGTTAAGTCGTATAAATTAATAATCTACATGAACCCTAGACCATAGAGAGCCCGCTCATGGACCTCCTGCCACAGGATTGGGGCCAGCGCCATCGCCACTGCTGCCGGGAGCGTTCGAGGATGATGCCGCTCCACCAGGCGCGACGTCGAAGCCCGTCAGGGAGAAGGCATGGCCTTCATCACGTAGAAGAACATGCTCACCATCAGCATCCATTTCCGGTGCGACCTCCATGGTGGTCTTGTCTGTGAGCTCGCTCCTGTGGGCCTGCTCCATTGTCGCCGTGGTTCGGGTCTCGTACCAAAACTTCACCTTGTTCTTGTTGTAGGTGTCGGTCCTGCACTAGTTGTCCCCCATCATATAAACCAAAGAACACTTATAACCCTAAAGACTGTGAACCTTATCTATCAAACCCTTCGAGCAATTACAACCCGGCCTATACTAATTGTTTGTGTAGTACTCTTATTTTTTCAGCCGAAGTGCACCCTACCAGGAGTACTTATAACATAATCTTTTCCAGCAGTGCATGGTCCTTTCTCGGGGATATATATATATATATATATATGCAGTATAGAATAGCTAGAGTATACGTATATATATATATATATATATATGCTACTTTAAGATTATTGCATAATAGTACCCGGGACCCGGGATGCATGCATGCATGCACACACAAAGCTCTGCGTCACACAGTCCTTTTAAAGGTGGGGTTGGCTTCGCAGAAGGCCTTGATCTCGTCCAGGCGTGCCCTGAGATTGGATGGAACATTCATGCACATGCATGCATGCAACTATGTAACACCTCCGGCTACTCAAGAGGAGAATTTGCTAGTCGAAACAAGTGACTTTGGCACTTTCATCTGATCCCGAAGCTCTTCCTCCGTGTAGAAATCGCCGACGATCTCCAGCCGCATTTCCTTGCTTTTGGAGGTTTGGTGCTGCACTTCTCGCAGGAAGCTTGTTTTGTCGAAATTGCTCGACACCCACACGCGAAGAAGGTCTTCGCGAGCCTTACCTCCAGCCTTCCATGCCTGGTGTACCGCTTCGGGCACGGCGAGCGTGCCGTCTGCACGTTTTTCGACGAACCTCCTTAAGCGCTGCCTTGCTGCCGCTGAAGAAATCTCCTCGACGACCGGTGGGGGTGCTGTTGCTGGGATTCCGGCTGCTGCGGTTTCCGCTGCTGCTGCTGCTGCTGCGGCGCTTTCAGCAATCTTGGTTTGTGCTTGCGCGTCTGCCAGCTGCTGCTGCAACACCTGGATCTGGTCGTCTTTCGATTTCACAAGTTCTTGCAAAGCTTTGTACTTTGCTTCGTACTCACTGCTCGCAGTGGCTGTGGATGCCTCGTCCGAAAGCGCATCTGAAGACCTGGCCTTCAGTCGGTCTGTGATAAACTCCGCCGTGTAGGGGTTCAGCGACACCGGCTTCTGAGACCCAAAGGCCTGTGATTTTTAAAGGTAGAATAGCCAGAATACCATACTATAGTATAGGACTAAGGTTCTGGGTTCGAGACTATTGAACAATATTATACAGCCTAGCTTATGTTCTTTGCCTCCTGAAGAGTCTCACACAGCATGTCGTCTGTGATAGGATACGGAATCTCCTTCTCCGGAGTTGCATAACCAAACTCCGGAATCTCCTGGTAGACATCCGAACCCTCCACATAGGTGTCGGCCAGCAGCTGCGAATGGATTGCCGTCGAGGAAGCCCCGTGTGCCGGAGACTCTTCCGCATCTTCCGCAAAGGTTAGCTGTGCAGGCTTCAGAGGGGACACTTGCAGCACCTTTGATCGCTTCAAGGGCGCCACGTTGGGGCTCGGTTTCGGAGCTTTGGTGGGGGTGCTGTTGATGTGGCGCTTCGTAGCAGCCAGCTCGGCTTCCACCTTCTTCTCCAATTCCTGCATGATGGGATGGCTGTGTGGGGCCCTGTAAATATTACACACTAGCCTCTTGGGTTTGAATTGATCGGCCGACTTGTAAAACCCATTAGGGGCTCCTGTGTGTTGGGTCCAGGGATGTTACGGGTTGAGGGGTTGAGGGGCTTTCGGGGTTTGGTTTATATAGGGGCTTTAAGGGTTTAGGGGTTTTATAGGGGCTTTAGGTGTATATAGTGGTTTTAAAGAGTTTATATGGGGGTTTAGGAGCTTGGTTTAGTGGTTTATACGGGGCTTATAAAGGGCTCTTGGAGGGCTTAGGGGTTATAGAGGTTTAGGTTTCATAAGTGTTTTATAGGGATTCACAGGTTTAAGGTTTCCAAAATCCCTTAAGTAAAGATAACATATTATATATACGTAATCCAAATTATAGCTATGAAACCTAACATGGGTATATTGCTTTGACTGAGGGATATTGGAAAATTCCATGGGTTCCCAGGGTTCATTTGAAGAGCTCCTTGGAAGGTGCCTTTAATGGTATGTTGACTCGATCATTCTCAGAACACAGTCCTCAATGTCGCGATCAATGATTTCGTCTTTAACTTGCTGTAAGTCCACAGCTGCCAAACCAGCCCGGAGCGTCTCCAAGCTCCAAGCTCGGCTATGCATCTCCGTCAGGCCCTTCTTTTCGGAGCCGGCACTCGTCATGGCTGACTCTTAAAGTCAGCACCACAAGTGCACCCGTGATCTGCTCAACTAAAGTATCGAAAAGCTGCGGTTGGAAACTCTGATTCCTGTTGTCATGCTTCGGTCGATCTCGAAGACTGATGGAGCTTTGATTTTCAGCGATGCTGGTTCTGTGTCAACACTGCAGGTCGCCAGCTTTGGAGTGTGTGGCGCACGTGGGATCTTTGGCTTTGCACATTATGTCTTCTATATGTTTCTATATGACACCTGCAATGCACCCATGATTCCATTAAGGATCCCACACCACATCTCCTCAGGCAAGCCGGCTTATGTAATGTACATTCTGCGTGAAGAGGCACGCATAATATGCTTCAAAATTGCAGGGTGGATTGTTCCAAACAAGCCGGCTGGAAAGCATATGTGCAATGGATTCATTGGACTAGAGCCACTATGTAACCGACGAAACAACTCAGCTCCTGTTAGCATTGCTGCACATTGGGGGCGGTGCCAGAACCCGGTACACTACATAAGTGAAGTATGGACCCATAGAGTTTTGGTCAATCCCTTCACCCCCCGGATTGACATTCCTGCACCCTGGAACAGAGAAGTAGTGTCGAATTAAAGCTGACTCGACTAGGCCAGCAGGCAAACCTTCTTTGCAGGCGAACATCACTTTCATTCCGGTCCACTTGTCATACTTGTCATAGGCATAACCATAAACCGGGTTGCTCCAACGACCCACTGGTGCTTTTGTCAACCCGATCTTGAATAAAGCAGGATGCCGTGCAAAGATGCCGTCTATGATTCCATGGCAGTGGGCCAGTAGAGTAGAAGCTGCAGGAACCGAGTCCCCCACGTATAGATCAAACTGGATTGCTCCATTGCAGAAGTTGCTCGATGTCAGGGATGGCAGAACCTCTTCGGTCATTCTGGGTAGCTGGGCCAACTCTGAATCCATGTGCTGAAGCCAATACCAAGGATCCAACTTTCTGTTCTGAGCAGTAGTTATTGAACTCTTGGGGACTCGGCACACATACCCTCCACTTGTAGACAGTGTGCTCACCTGCTTCTGTAAGCCCTGGATAATGATCCGCAGTTTTGAATTCTCTTCGCTTAAGCATCTGTCAGAGCCAGCTTCCTCATGTGTATCCAAGGCTAGACTTCGCACCGGAGATCGAGGCGGCCGTGTCCCAAACCACTGAGTTCGTAACTCGTCAGGATCAGAACAGTCGCTGTCCCACAGCAAGGATTGCAGGCTACGAAGGCGTTTTCTAGAGGCCATTCTCTCTCTATACCTAATCTATTTATATAAGTATATATATATATATAACTAACCTATATATGCATATACATATACTTCATATAGAATATATACATATACACTGGCACATATACAAATGGTAAACTAGTCTTATATAACTATAAGTTGTATATATATATATATACATACCTATTATTTAGAAAGCAAGAAAGAAAGAGAGATAAGCCTCGACTGTACAGAGACATCTTCTACTGCAGACTAAGAAAAATCTTCGGTCAGGACACATATATATATATATATAAATTTAATACACACTCATCATACGAAGACAACCTTCAAAAGAAGAAGTATACTTCTCCTGATACTCGCACCCAAGGCTCCTGTCTCCCATCTATAACACCTATAGATTATACCCCGAACTTAAGTTTCCGGTCTGCCCTCTAGCTGCCTCTAGCTTATCCAGCAAGGACCCTGGGGTGTACGGGGGCATACCGGGCCCTACGGGGCCGTACGGGGCCGTACGGGGCCGTACGGGGCCTTTTTGGGACATACAGGGCTGTACAGGTTGCTCGGTTTGGGCGGTGTACGGGTGTACAGTCGGTGTTGGGGGTGGGATCAAGTATCCGCAGGGTGTATTCGGGGCTTACGTATGGTTCGGGAAGGGCTTCCATGGGGTGGCCAGAGGGGGCCGGGGTACGCGTACAGTACGTACGCTATTTTACGCCCTTGGTTCGCGATTTTACGCCCTTGTGTACGGGCATTTCAGCCCTCGGTGTTTCACCCTAAATACACTGCAGAGGCCTTGAAAAGCCGTGGCGGGCCCTTTGACGGGTTTGGAGAGTTTGTGAAACTGGGAAGTGGATCCTAGAGCCTACCTTCCCGACTTTAGTGAGTGTAGGGGCTTCGCTTGTGTTGTTGGGGGCTTCTTGTAGGCTTGCACAGCATAGAACACCTGTCGAAAGCATTTGTCTGCATCAAACATGAACAAGAGCTGCTTAATTGCACACGCAGGTGGATGTAAGGCGTGCATAGTAGATGCACATGTGCATGGGATGTGTGTATGCTTGGGGACTGATGTATACATTTGCTAATGCAACGACATAACAGTCGGCCTCAATAGTATAGGCCTAGACATCTACGCTGGTTCGTAAGCTAGTATAAATATAGTATGTATAAGTTGAAATAATTAATAACGACCCGAATAAGCCCTTCAATACTATCGAAATGTCAGAACTTCTTTGGGATCAGTGGCCGCCACGACAAAGGAATTTGCAATCCTTTAGCACCTCTGACATAAAGGACTGCATCAGCAACCTTCGCATCACTCCAGGAATCATCGAAGCTGAGGGCATCGAAGAGTTCGGTGACATCGCCGCCTCGTGCCTGCGACACATGGGTTCGTTTGGAAAGGTTTCCTAATAATAAATAACTTCCTAGTATCGATCGAACTCTATTAGCAAAAGCCCCACACCCGAAGTATGTGAGCCCTTGGGAATATTCCACATTCATGCTTCTGTATTGACTATACCAGTATTAATCTAGCCCCTGCATCGCCACCCTTCTAAAACCCAAGACTGAACTATGGATGCCCCGTATGTAGTGTTAATGCATGCAGCAGCTAGTATATATTTGAATTGAGACAGAAAAGAGAGAGAGAGAGAGAGAGAGAGAGAGAGAGAGAGAGAGAGAGAGAGAGAGAGAGAGAGAGAGAGAGAGAGAGAGAGAGAGAAAGAGAGAGCGAGAGAGAGAGAGAGCGAGAGAGGGATAAGTCTTGTAGTTACAGCAAACACCACACCAAAGACAGAAGGTTTTCATGTATAGGAGTTTACATGAATCTGCCGACAAGCAACATACCCCAACAACCCCACACATTACTCTTGAGTGTTTTAACTAACTTAAAAAGTAGTCAACATGCTGAAAATATATAACGACTTTTCAAAAGTATCCATTAGCTAGGATCTACCTTTAGCTTTCAGGGTATGGGTCAGGGTTTGCACGGCTCTTTGTTTTGGGCTTGAAGATCGGGGGCTGGCACCTCTGGAACAGAGCACCTGCTGTCGGCAGCCAGCAGGAACGGCTTGAACTGCAGCACGGCGTTGGCAAACTTGTAGGTGTAAGTCCTGGGCTGGCTTGTGGCTCGAAGTGTGTTAATATATGTATCGTGGGGCAGTAGATGACCATGCAATCCGAGGCTCTGGGTCTTCTTCAAAAATTTGTTTCCGGACCAGCATAGCTTGCCCCCAGAGCTGTAGCGTTTGCTGGTATGGAATTTAGTGTTCTTCAGGATCTCCGAGCGGGCAAGAGATCCAAGGTTGAATCGACGAATTTCCAAGGAGTTTGACCAAATCGCCGTTCGTTTTGCCGTAGGAGCACCCCAATGCTGCATCCAGAAATTCTGCTGCCAAATCTTGGTTTTCATATGCATGCATATATATATATACACACACATGATACATACTATGTGCGTGCATGCATGTGCAAGTGTATATATATATATACATATATATATATATATGTATAGGACCACACAAGTGCAGGTATGAAGGCATCATATATGCATGTCTGTATAATGTCGTGATGTATATAGTATATTACTATAAGATCCATGCAGTACTATATACATATTATATATATATATATATGCATGTGTGCACACACTAACCGCTGCTTAGTTGCATGAATGCGGCCGTACCAACTATCGGTAAGTTCTTTGAGGCGGTCATGTTGCATCAAAAGCGACGTGACCGGCTGCTCGAGCAGGAATGTCCCGCCACAGGCAACGACCAGCATTACGATCAAGGCTGTCCTCCGGGCCGAGAAAGCGCAACCCTCCGAAATTGTGGGATAACCAATTGTGAACTTGTACCCATTGAAACCCCCTTATAACCCCTCCTCGACCCAAGCATGTTTGCCTCCTCAACTTTTACGTTGCCAGCCAGCCCCATAGGTGTAAGGACTGATCGTTTCGTGGCCCCTCGAGAAGCCAGCACCCAAGAACTGCAGCATGTGGCAACCACAGCCATGAAGGCATCGCGTCGCCCCCGGAGTATCAGGATGATGCACAACCTGGGCCACACACATGCATGAACACACACCCATGTATGAGAACGAGACTTAAATTTATTCAGACACACGCACCATGCACATGTTAATGTAAAGCAGCCGAAGCACACAAGTCCTGAAGTGGTTGTCAAGTCCATAGAGCCCTTCCGAGTAAGAAACTCATCATACTCCAAGTCTATGGCTGCAGAGCGGTGCCCAGTTTCTCGGAACCGTCGGGAGATAACCCCAACTCCTGCGAAGATTTCTACCAAATCATATTGGTGGGCAGGCGAATCGAGCTGGGTTTCGGGGAGCCAGAAGATCAAGACGACGAGCAGAATGTAGGCCTGGAAACATGAGTGGCTGATATCACCAAACAAGTTATTATATCGAGAGATCATGCAATCACGTGCCAATCCTGCAGACGAGCTTCCTTGGGAGCTCCTAGGGCAATGAGTCTTCGCACAACGAGTTCGAAATCCGAGGACGAAACCATCGTAGCAGCACAGCTATATAGTACTGTACACTCGGATCCCTGCTGTGGAAAATACCCATATATACTCAGGATTGCATAGGCCAGTATGTTCTACATTGCATTAGGGAAGTGTTGCTTGGACCGGTTTCAGAACTCCACCTGGAGACCGCTGCGGCTCTGCATGCATGCATGGTATGTATAAATGCCGTCGCACACACTCACACAGGCACACTCGAGATTTTC